AGTCCATACAAGAGAAGACAGAGATTAAGAAGCAAAAAAGATCAATTCTTTGTGATGGAAAGAAATCATCTCTGGCAGGATGTCAGGTAGAAGAACTCTGGGTCCCGTGGAGAAAAAGGTCTCTAGACTCTTATGAAACAAGGCAAATGATTTCTGTGGTGACTCATCTTTGGGTCAGCACATCATCTGCAGCAACAGAGCTGTAAGTTATGAGAGGAGAGCGTAGAGCATGTGCCTGCTTTCCTCAGCCATGCAGGGTACAGAGCCCTGGAGGAGAGACCGCAGTCACAGCTAGAGCTGGCATTTGGTGGGAGCCAGAGGAACCCAAAGAGTTTGTGGTCCTGGCCAGGTCCACCTCTTTACTAAGGAAGAGGGGCTCCCCACCCAGCTGCTGACTTCCCTTGCAGTCTGAACAAGCCACTTGAACACACCATCCCTTTTTTCAAAAGAGAAATCTTCTGGGTCTTACTTAGCCTCAAAGACAAATTATTCCAAAAGCACTAATAGCAAACATTAACCATGCCCTAATTATCTGTCAAGTACTGCAGCAAGCACTTTCACATGTTTTTGCACGTGACCCTCGCACCACCTCATGGTGAATGTCTCTGCATGTGCTATTATTTGCATTTTACCAACATGAAAACTGAGGTTAGGAGATGAGCTAATTTGTTTGAGGTCACACTGCTGGTGAGTGGGTGAGCTGGGATTTGAGCGAAAGAAGCTCCATTTTTCTGCACCCAAAGTCATATTTCAGTATGAGCAAAAATTACTGCTCTTTTTAGAAGAAACCAGAAAATGTATATCAGGAGTGAGGGGTTGCCTTGGAACACAAAGCAAAAGGACCTCAAAAGGTATCAAACCAGAAAGTTGTCTTCTTCCTCTTAAAACTTCCACTCTACAGCATGTACTCCCCTGCAACTTTGGAGACACAGCCTGCTAATTCACTTTCCAGATCCCACGTAGCTGTGTCTCTGGGTGATCATAACTTGATTGAGTCAGCTGACAAGGTCTGCAAGACTCTTGGAAAGGTATCGTTAATTCGAAATGATGCCAAATGTCACCTGGGGAGTCCATGTGCAAACATTCTCCTTCTTTCTTGCCAAAGAGCACGCATTCTATGTAGCTACCAACTCCTTTCCACATCACCTTTCTGTGCCAGGCTCCACCCTGTTGAGGCTGATGCTCCTCCTCCAGCTCTCTATGCTGATGAAGAACAAACCAACAGTAACCCACAGAGGTAACACTGGGTCTGCTGTTGTCATCAAGAGCAGCCAGCTTTCCCCAAAGGTGCTTAGGATCCTGATGGTGTATCCCAACATCACATGAAGTAGCTCTAAGCCACGAAACAAGTTCAACATTCATTGAGCACTCATTTCAGATCAGATAGCAGACATGATAAAGTACAGTGCCTGTCCCTCCCCCAAATTACGAAAGTACTGCAGGAAAAGACCAGTGGAGAAATGTTACAACATAAGGTGTATTTTTTTTTCTTTTTTACATTTATTTATTTTGAGAGACAGAGAGAGACAGAGCACGAATGGGGTAGGGACACAGAGAGGAGGAAATACAGAATCTGAAGCTGGCTCCAGGCTCTGAGCAAGCCGTCAGCACAGAGCCCCACATGGGGCCCAAACTCGCGAACCGCAAGATCGTGACCTGAGACAAAGTCGGTCACTCAACCGACTGTAGGTCACTCAACCGACTGAGCCACCCAGGCGCCCCGCAGTGTAATTAAATACATGCTAAATGAGCACCATTTTAATTATGGCAGGAACACATTTTGAACTATTAATTTGTATCTACTTTTCATCTACTTTCTCCTTTCCTGTCTTCTCTTCTCAAGCAAGTAGCCAATCAGCCTTGCCTTCATTGCTCCAGAGATCGTCCATTGCAGAGAGAAAGAAGAAGTCACTGGCAAGACTCCCTGGCTCTAGTATGCTAAAAGCTGATGCCCAGAGTTGAGCCAAGAGGGTTTGTGGAAAACAAAGGGGGAAAAGAGGAACTCGATGGAGGAAGAGGCAACACGAATTGGAGAAAGTCAAGGTAGAGAAAGGCTTCTCTCAGAACAGAAAGAGATATCTCTGGGCTGGGAGCAGAATGAGAGCAGGAGACACCAAGAGAGACACAGACAGAGAGACAGAGAGAGACTGAGGCTTCTACTGCCAGGTGCTTAGGCAAAGAAGAGTCAATCTCATGATTCTTGCCTCAACAAGACATCTGCAAGGCAGTGATTATGTTGTATGTCTAGGCAAATACGGGCAAATTGTTTTTCTGCAAAAATAATTCTCAGGTCTCCAGTGTAACCACAGAGAGCAGCCAGCCCCAGCGCTGCCATACGGAGGAGGTAAGGGGAAACAAGGAGTTAACCTGCTTGGTTTCTGCCTTACTTTGATACTGCACAAATCCCTAGAACAGGGTGGAACTCAAGCAATTCCTACCATAGTTTCCTGGTGGACTGGACAGATACGGTGAAGTTGCCAGAGATAATCTAGCATGCCCTTTATGGGGAGTCCTGTGTTTTTATTCAGTAAGTCTGGCAACCCTACATTGGGCTTGAAGTAGAAAGTAACCTGACAAAAATGACGCGGACAAAAATTCATATCTGAGTGTGCAAAACTGAAATGGCACACTGTGATTTATACTCATTCACATATAACACCTTTTATTTTTAGAGCATTTTATAGTTTATAAAATTCCTTTTCATATACTATATCATTTGACCTTCCCAATTACCTGGTGAGATGAGAAATGTGGGTCTGATTTTTTCCAGAAAATGATACAGGGCTCAGGGAAGCTAAGCCTGCTGAAGACACTAAGTCCACGTGGGCCAAGGTTATAACCCAAACTGGCTTCAGCTACCAGGATGCTCTGCTCTGGGACCCTGCACTGCCTCCAAATCCCAGCCTGGCCCAGGCTCCAGCATTCCAGACATGACACCATTGCATTCAGTTCCAAAATGCCTCTCGTGGGCTTTTGTGAAGCATGAGGCTTCAGAGGCGTCCGATTCCAGATGACCTCTCTCTGGTTTGCAGAAGGGCCAGAGCTAGAAAATCGTTTTACTTGGTGAGGTGACCACAGTGAGGTCTCCATCACCTGTGGGTTCTGGGATGACAAACTTGTAACAGGTCTAGATACTAATCCTTTGGGCTCACCATATTCCAGGTCAGGTGACAACTGCCTACAAATAAGATGGCTTGATTCCCTTGCGACTCAGTGAAGATGGTGTGGACGGTGATTTCTGGAGAAGGGAGCAGAGCAGAGCAAGAGGCCTGACTTCGGGATTCCTTGCAGACCCCAGAGGAGAGCAGCGGAGGAATGCTCTGTCCAGCAGCTCAAGACAGCTGCTGCCTGGAGGGAGGGGCTGCTCTGTCAGAGCGCAGGGTTTTACACATCCTAAAATCTTTACTTATGGATGTCAGGTCAAAGGGAAGGGGAAAAAACTCAACCAGACTTGAAAAGTTACCTGGTTCTGCTGTCAGCAAATGGGCCGCAGCTGTTTTTGCCATTACAAAAGCTGGTGCTTTTTTTTTTTTTAAATGTTGTAGGAAATAACGAATATGATCCTGGGGAAGCCCCATGTATACCACTGCCCACTTTGATTAAAATTTCATTTTTCACTCTATACAGAGGATTTCAATGGCAGGAAGATGTTCTTTTTCTTTGCTTTGCTTTTTTTTTTTTTTTTTAAGTGCTAGAAGACAGGAACCTGTTTTATTGCCATTTTTTTACTCTTTATACTTTGATATGTTATACATATTATTTACTGCCCACTAAATTGTTAATACTAACAATGATAACTCCTCGTTGTTGTGGAAGTCATTTCTGGGTTGTGAGAAAGGGCATCTTACAGATTGGGGAATGAGACAAGGATTCTGATGATCACCAAAACATTCATTACCAATGACTATTTTGTAATGTTTCCAAAGCACAATGACACAAGGCTCTGCAGACCTATGATAACTGTATCTGAAAATTTCTTCCAAACATCTCATCCACGGGCAGCCACTGATTTGGAGGAAGTCCTCTAAGGAGCTGGGGCCATTCCCGCACCAGCGTCAGGACTCCTGGTCCACATATCTGGGCAGGAGTGATGCACTCAGAGTACAGTGCTCCTTCTGACCAGTAGGGCTCACCTGACTGGATGAAAGGTCAGCAGGACTAAGCTCCCTGCCAGGATTCCAAGGATTCCAAATTTCCTTCCTCCCGCCCCAGGCCAGTGACTTGTAAATGTGGAGGCTCTGCTAAGCACTGGGATTTCATTAACGGCCTTGTTAAAATTTACTAGAGTCAAATAAAGAAAAGATCCAGCCTTGGAAATCATTCTCCACCCTGTCTCTCCTTCTCCCTGCTTCCCACCCCCACCTCTGATCCTACTTATTCATCCACTAAGCAAGTAACTACTGAGTGAATTCTGGAAAGTTAGCCGTTGTCACATAGCTTTAAAAATCACTTCAGAAAAAGCCTTTAGGAAGGTAGGTCACCTCTTTCCATTTGTCTTACTCTGGCAGGTCTGGCGCCTCAGCAAACAGGCAGTGAAGAACCATCGTGAAGAATACAGAGGGATACAGACTCTTAAATCAGGCCCGAGACAAATCCTGGCCATTGAATCCGACCTTGATGACTTTGGGCAAGTTAATTAACCTCTGTGAGTCTCACTTTCTGCATCTATAAAATGGGACGAGTACTAGGACCTACTGTGTCACATATTGAGAAGGTTAAGGAAAGTTATGCATGTCCACTGCCTGCCCCAGTGCTGAGCACACAGCAGGTGCCAAAAATGTGAGCTATCAACAGGAGTCCTTTCCCCCCAACCCCCGCTCCGCGGCACTGCCCCATCTTGTGTTTAAGAGATTTTTTGCCGACTACATGGGTAACTAAGGAGAGGAAAAGCCATGTTCATGCTCCTGGATTTGCAACTTGTCCCATCCTTCTGTGATATCATAATTCGAGCAGCAGCCCACAAATCTGAACACCAACCAGCCCTGTAACCAGTCCCCACCTCCCACACACTTTTCATCACCCACTCGCGCATAACATCTGGGGCCTCTACTCCCATCCTACCATCCTGTGAGCTGTCCAGGTTCCGTGTCCAACAATACTCAGAGAGTTGGTATCCTTAGGAGGTAAGAATACCGGGGTCTCTAGGATCCAAGGCAGGAAGCCCTCTTCCAGGGGAAGCTGGAATTTTGCAAAATGGGATACAGGCAGGGGCATCTTTTTAAAATCCCTCTGCTCTGGGGGACCTGAACACAGGTTTCATTTTTCAAGGGACCTGGATGCTTATTAAGGGCCCCAAGATTGGTTTACTCTGGTTTCAGCGGCTGCTTGACCTCTCCCTAGCCCATATGGAGGAGGCCAAGACCCACCTGGAATTAAATCCAGGCTGTATAGGCAGTTCAGGGCAGTCGAGGCCTGAGGGCCTGAGGCAGGTCCTGCGCTGAGTGATATTTTTTGAGCAAGGTTGGCTCCTTCTACTCATTCAGGTCTCTGCCTAAGTGTCCACCCCAGAGTCCTTGCCAGACCTCCAAATATAAAGTCCAATGCAGCCTGTTTCCTCTGCACATTTTCCTTTTCTGTGAACGCATGTCACTTATTCCAAAGCATCTCACATATATATTTGCTTACCTGTGCTTGCCTGCTGCCCCTAGACTTTCAGATCCCTGGGAAGAGAAGCTCTACCTGTCTTGTTCATACTATGGCCCAGCATGTGCTACTTTTTGCACAGAGGAGATGAGGGAAAAGAACAAAAGACTTATAAGATGCCACACAAAAATCTAGAGTCCTGCCTGCCATTGGGGCATAGAGTACAGAGAATGTCCTTTTCAGAAAGGTAGGAAGGACAGTAATGCTCTTTTACTTTTGAAGTTCTAAATCTTTATGACACATACATGGACTGACCAGTCTCTGACATTGTATACAAGGCCTGAGCAACTCAAGGTCATTTTATCTGGATGTATGGCTGGCCATTATGTATTACCCATATTCTCTCTCTCATCCTCTCTCTTGCCATATCTAGTGAATCTGCTGAGCCCAAATTGCTCAGGGCCTGTACATCTAAGTACATGGAGGGGTAAGTCAGTATGAATTTAATGAGAGCCAAGAAATCTGAAGTATTAGTAGGAGCAAGTGGCTGGGGAGATGGTGGGGGAGGAGAAGGAACAGGAACAGTCAGGGCTTTGCTTTGACGTGAAGTCTTAGACAGATCAACAAAAGAGGCCAGGTCAAGACTCATGTCAAGCTAACTTCCCTCACGTGGCCACAAATGCTTCCCTTTGCTTCTCTGAGCTGGCAACAGTGTTCTCAGTACATGGGGCTGCAGAGAAGGATGGGGAGCAGGGCAGAGAAGGGGAAGCCTTGTTTGCAGGAGGATTAAGAGGCAATCTCACAAGGCTGCAATGACTTTGTAGGCTACAGAACAAAACTTCCAAAAGGGCAAAAAGTAAACCTAGTTCTTGAAGGGGGCTACACATCCATGTAAAAATAAACTACAAACCACCTAACCAGAGGAGAACAAAGCAACACCCTTGACAAATAGATTTGGCCCAGTTCAGATTTTATATATATTATGAAATAATAAAACAGAAGCAGCTCTGGCCACCCTCCTTGTCACAGCAACTATCACTACCTGCCCCTTCTTAGACAGCTGTTCTTATGCGCAGGATGGAGTGTACAAGGCCAGGTGCAGGGCATGTTTCCTGGTGACCCTGAATCCAGTGGGAGAGCACCTGCAGGTGTGCATTTAAAGGCTGTGGGTACATCTGCCAAAGGATGTTGGAATTCTGAGTTTCAGAAGCCAGTGAGCAATGGGGTCCCATAAGCCAGAGTCTGGCAAAATGCATGTTCACACGCAGACACAGACACACGTGGACAGGCAAGAACAGTTTCTGTTAGGATTGTCCCAAAGTAATACAATCTGTAGCTGTGTAACTTTGTGTAATAACCTGTCTAGACCATTCTAATCTTTTGATAAAATTAAGACATTGGAATAGGTACTCTCTAGGGGCTTTCCAGGTTAAAAATTCTAGACTTCTATGCAAACATTACTTTCTCTCTATGCTCTTTTGTTTTTCTCTCCCCTGCTCTTCCTGTTTCATCTTCTGCCTTTCTTCTTTTCTTCCTATTGGCCAAGTGCCCTTCATTTGCCTCACAGGGGCCAATGAACCCCAGCAGCCAACCAGGAAAGCCAGCAAACCAGCAACTGTTTTCACAAGGTTTGGAGTAGCTGATGTCCCACAGTTATGATTCAACTATCTAGCTCCTAGGCTCTAAGACAAATCCCCAAGCCTCTTGTTGAGCATTAAATAAGACATACCAGCCAGTCAGCAAAGGAGTCTTCTGATTGAGTCCTGGTGGTACAGAACAATAAATACGGCACTGCGCCAAGAAGCTTAGTCTAATACAGAAACAGGTGCACCCAAAATGGCAACATTTCTGCTGCAGAAATCAAGACAGAGTTCATGGGGGAAATCTAGCAATGAAGGTGTTATGCTAATTATGGGAGAAGTGACTTTTGGGGATCTAGAAAGCCTTCCTAGGAGAGGGAATGATAATGTGCAAGTTTAGCAAAACATAATATCCTCATTCTTCATTAAGTGTATCTACTCTTATAAATTGAGAAATCACATCATTTGGGATGGACTCATCCATTAAATATATGTAATATGTATAGTTATTATTTGTTGAGTGCTGTATGCTATGAAATGCATTAAATTCCTCATAAACTCATTCAGTCCATAATAAAATAGGAGATTGATGTCAGCACAGTGTTAAGGGCATGTTACTAGTCACACAGATTCTGGCTTTCTCTGCACCTCTATTTTTTCATCTGTGAAATGGGACAAATAACAGTATATACTACATAGGGTTGGTGTGATTTTTCAATTAAATATTATATAAAGAACTTAATACAATGTTAAGAATGTAGTAAATGCTCCATAAACATACTTATTGTTGATAGAATCATTCTTCCACATATAGCTACTAATGTCTAGAGAGCATAAGTGGGCTCTCTGAGGTCACATGGCTAGCATGTCACCATACTCTGTCATCCCTCGTGATATAAACTACCACTGCTTGATGGCAATTTCTTTAAATTTTCCAGTAAACTCTGCACATTCTGTGACTTGACCTACAATCTACCTTTAAAAGTCATTGTGGATCTGCAGGTCAATTAATTTTACCTTGGAAAAGTCATGCAAATGTATGGCACATAGAGTAGGGCCTTAGAGTTAGAGATGCCTGTGGTCTTTACCTTGAGATCAGTAGATCAGGCTGCTTCATCATCATCTGTGATTCCTCTTTGCCCACCCCTGCCCCTCATTCCAGACTCTTCTGGAACATTCCCTTTTGTTCTTCCCTAATGACCCAGCTCACCCCAGGCACTGGCTAACAGAAAAATCAAGGAGTGAGCCAAGAAGAGCTATGGCATGAAATGGGGCTGAAAAGGCAGAGACCCAGAAATGCTGGAGGCTCTCACAAAAAGAAGCTTTTAAGGAAAAGAAAGCAGCTATCTTGAAGGACATTCATAACACTCATGCCAGCCCTTGATTACAGCAGGGTGGAAAGGGTGGGCCAAATTGCACCTCATTTGCAGCCAGCTCCTCAGAGTCCACTAAGTGTTTCCCATGAGCCTCTGTATGGCAACAGCCAAATTTCCTATAGAAATGGTTAACCTCAAAGGTGTGTGCTATAGCAGTAGCCAGGAAGCATGGCATAAGTGGCATGAACAACTGGTCCTAGGAGGCAGTCCTAGAGGAATTTTGTCTATAAGGAAAAGAAGAAAGTAAGACAAAGAAAAGCCTAAGGAATGCCTTAGTGTCTTCAAGAAGCTCCCAAGTTTTATTTCATTTATTTGCTTATATGGGGAGAAGCCAGAGAAGTAATGTGGAGCCAGTGAGGATCAAAGAAATGAAAAGGGGCTTAAGCTGGAGAAAAATTCCAGTTGGACAAAACAAAGCCCTTTTTGAATGCAAGTCTGATAAGATTGCTAGGTTTCACTGTTGAGTGAGGTTATGGTTCTGAATCTTCAAAAAGCAATTCTAAAACCAAACCCCAAACCTTCCATCTCCTCCCCAGTCCTATGTTTCCTACTTAAGAATTACCAGCATCATTTATACCATCAGTATTAGAATTATCTGGAAAGCTTACATAAATGCAAGTTCTCAGGCCTCAACTTAGTCACTATTGAGCAGCATCTCTGGGAGACAGGTGCTCCATAAACCACAATTTGACAAGTTCTAAAGGTGATTCGTATTTACATGGAAATTGGGGAGTGAACAAAGCCAAGGCACCTTCCACCTTGAATTTTCTGAATATGTGCATTTTATCAAAGTCATCAGAGGGCTGCTACAAAGGGCACTAAAATAAAAATAAAAGCTGCCTTTCCCAGAGAAATGGGTTGCTCCATGCTGGAGCACTACCCTGACCCCAGGGCACAGCCAAGCTGATGAGCTGAAGATACAGGTTCTGTTGGTAACCCCTGATTACCTGAGAGGGGGCTGCCAGGCCTCACGCTGGAGGGATGGGGGTGGGAAACTTCACTTAAGGGCAAATTCCTGTGCCTAGAAATCAGATCTGAGTGCAGCACTGCCATCTCTACTAGAGAAAGAAACCTTACAGTGATTTATCTTTCTCCCTCCTCTCATCTCTGAGTTGGGTGCTGAACTGTGCACTTACTGATTTGCTTTTCACTCCTGGGCGTTTGCAGTCTTCTTACCAAGGGACTGAAATCATCTCCACCCATTTTAAGGTATGTGACTGCTGATCCTAGGGGAAAGAGGAGGGCTGGAAGGCACTTTTCTTTCTTTTTTTATGTTTTTTTTTTTTGGGGGGGGGGCTATACTGTGTTTTTGTTTTGTTTTTAACTTGTCTTTCTTTAAAGTATAATTGACATACAGTATTATAGAAAACAGCTTTTTCCCCCCTTTCTATTGCAACTCCATCTTTGGAACACGAACACAGGAGCTGGCATAAGGGGCTTATTTCCCTGGGGGCGCCTGGGTGGCTCAGTCGGTTAAGCGCTGACTTCTGCTCAGGTCATAATCTCATGGTTTGTGGGTTCGAGCCCTGCGTCGGGCTCTGTGCTGACAGCTAGCTCAGAGCCTGGAGCCTGTTTCAGATTCTGTGTCTCCTTCTCTCTCTCTGACCCTCCCCTGTTCAGGCTGTGTCTCTCTTTCTCTCAGGAAAAAAAAAATAAATAAAAAAGGGACTTCTTTCCCTGGACACTCTTGTGGTGACTTCTTCAAGGTTGTGGAGAGAGCATTTTTACTTCTCTCTGCTGGGTTGCCCATTGGCACCCAGTATTGACACCTCAACTCTTTGATTCTTCTAGGCTGATTTGTCTCCTTCTACTCTGGGCTTTTGGGTGATAGGAGGGAAAGTGCTGGTCAGAGTTGTTTCACAGAACTTTGAGCTGCATCGTGGAGAGGGCAAGGAAAGTGACACTGTGTTAGGAATTGGAATCACCCAACTGTGTCAACTCATTCCTTATGACTGTGACTCTCTCCCCAGTGTAAACACTATCCCTTCTCAGATGTGGGAGCTGCCATTTTTCAGAAATGGGGAGGTAAGTGGTGGAATGCCTAAATGAAATAACACTGCCTGCCAGTCGCAGTCTCATTGGAAATCTTGATTCTATTCCTTGCTTTGCAACCAATTGTGGGTTGTGCCATATGCAATTTGTTACTAATTAGAGTCCCAAGCTAATTCAGTTAAAAAAAAAATTGGAAAGACCTGTAGGATCACTCCCACTCCCATACATTCTGATAGCTTCCTTGAAGGAAAAAGAGGATTAGGCTTACCTAGATTAGTGAATTTGTCTGTACCTTGCATCTTATTTCCCATGTACTCAGAAGGCCCATAATTATGTCAAAATTGTGACATCCATGAGAATCAGAAAAACTAATGGCCCAGCAGTGTTCAGCAAATTGTGATCACCTACTACCTCTACCATTTGCTTAAAATGAGCTGGAGAACATGCCCAAAATGCAGATTCCTAGGCCCTGTCCCAAAATACTGAGGGTGGAATCCTGAAATCTATATTTTTAATAAATGTTCTCTTCATAGTTATCACACCTTTCCTTCGAATCATAGCTGAAAATATTTCACTTTTATAAAGGACTAATTAAATAAGTTCCCTGACTCCTCCTATAGCCTCATAATCCATTTGCTTTTGCTGCCTCCAGCATCCACAGAAAATACACATACTTTTTTTCAGTTCTTGGTAAATAGTCCAAAATGTTCCTGTTCCATGTTTTGCTTGGGAATAAGTGTCTTCCCTGGTCCAGAAAAGAGACTGGCAAGCTACTACAGTCCTCAGGCCAAATCTGGCCCACTGCCTATTTGTGTAATAAAGTTTTATTGGAACACAGTCATGCCATTTTGTTTACATATTGTCTATGGCTACTTTTATACTGCAATGCAGAAGTGAGTATTTGCAACAGAGACAGTATGGCTTGAAAAGCTGAAGATATTTCCTATTTGGCTTTTTGCATATAAAGGTTTATATGGTTTAGAAGGGTGGGAGAGAATGATTAACTGTTGGACAAATCCATTTCTTTGTCTTCTTGCACCTATCTAGACTACATTTCCCAGCCTCCTTTGCAGTTAGGCCTGATCAGGTGACTGAGTTCTGGCCAAAGAAATGAGAAAAGGAATTGAGACTGGCCTGGCCTGTTAAATCTCTCTGACTTGATCCTCCTAGCAGCAGACAAGCCTAGCCTTGAATCTAGGTGTCATCCTATTGAAGATGGCAGAGCTTCATGAAGGAGTTTGAGTCTCTTAGTCATTACTTGGAGGCAAGCCACTCATGCATGGAAAAGGAATTTTGGCTTTACGTGAGAGAAATAAATCTCAATCAATTTGGGTCATTATACAGTATATTAAATTCACTTGTTAGAACAGCCCAATTTAATTTAATTTAAACACAAAGTTCCCTCCATAGGTAAAAGAGTTAAGGAGGGAGGTCCTTTGCATCTTCAATGCAGGATGGGAAATGAGGGGTTGCTACTTGTTTATAGGGAAAGAGAAAGGTGGAGAAGAATCAGGACAGTCGTTGTGGGAACTGTTTTGCCTAAGGGCCCTACTCACATCCTGTAATAATGCCAGCATAATGAGTTTGTTCTCCCCATTGAAGATGGGGAGATGCTCTGTCATACACAGTGCTAGAGGGGGAGATTGGCCCCTTTTTCCAGGAAATAAGTATTTTTGGGGGATATGGAACAATCTAGCATCAAGGTTAGTATCTTGTAGAAAGCCATGAAGTGCTGGGGAAAGAGTTCTGATAAGGTGTGGCAGACTTGGCTCTCAGATCTTTCCTGAAAAAATTAGCTGTGTACCTTAAGGCAAGTCACCACCCCTTTGAAGGCTTGATTTCCTCATTAAAACAAGTCTACATCTTTTTTTTTTTAAATCATTTTATGTATTTATTTAAAATTTTTTATTTATTTCTAGGAGAGAGAGAGAGAGACAGCGTGAGCAGGGGAGGGTCAGAGACAGAGGGAGTCACAGACTGAAACAGGCTCCAGGCTCTGAGCTGGCAGTCAGCACAGAGCCCGACGTGGGGCTCGAACCCACGAACCACGAGATCATGACATAAGCGAAAGTCGGACGCTTAACCGACTAAGCCACCCAGGCGCCCCAAGTCTACACCTTTAAAATGTCAGAACCAGACTGGACTTCAGATATAAGCTAGCTCAGTGGTTTCCAAAGCAAGTTCCAAGAATCTCTGCAATCCCTCAGAGGTACCTTAATATCTTCTGTAAGTTAAGGGATGGGTAGTGTGAAGATTCTGGGCTTCCCGCTGACTGAACCAGCACAGCATGACTTTTTATTTATTTATTGGGGGGGATAGTATTTTAAAGTGATAACTGATATGTTCCACACCTCCCCCACCAATACCTGTGCACTTTCTTATGCCAAGCACACGGGAGATATTCTACCTTTGCCTTAGGGATGGATTGTCCTATACAAAATAGAGAACAAAGATACTAACTTTTGGTTTTTAAGTTTGAAAAATCTAGACCTGTGCTGTCCAACATGATAGCCACTAGCCACGTGTGGCTATCTGAATTTACATAAATTAAAATTAAACACTCAGTTCATTGGTCAAACCAGTCACATGTAGCTGTGGCTACCATAATGAACATTTCCATCATCATAGAGAATTCTGTTGGACAGTGCTGATTTTTTTTAAAATTTTTAATGTTTTATTTATTTCTGAGAGAGAGAAAGAGAGAGAGAGAGAGAGAGAGAGAGAGAGACAGCATGAACAGGGGAGGGTCAGAGAGAGAGGGAGACACAGAATCTGAAACAGGCTCCAGGTTCTGAGCTAGCTGTGAGCACACAGCCCAACGTGGGGCTCGAACCCACAAACTGTGAGATCATGACCTGAGCCGAAGTCAGATGCTTAACCGACTGAGCCATTCAGGTGCCCCTGGACAATGCTGATCTTAAGCCCTGATCAGCTTGGCGTATATTGGGTTAGTCAGAATTAGTAAATTCTCTGCTCCAAAGATTCTTCTAGTTGGGAAAAATATAGAAAAGGATCATGAAGGGAGTTGAGACACATATAGGCATGTGGTAGTGACCCCTTTCTTAACCTTTCTCTGCCAAGTAGTAGGACTGAATGTAGATTGGAGGAAGAATGATAGAAGCTGAGGTCTGAGGACACTGACTGTGTCAGGTGAAGCCAAGTGAGGAGGCAAGGCCTCTCAGAATTCCCTTTGCTCTGTCCTGGTGCAGAAGCATTAGAGAAGAATGGATTCATGGTGGCATTTAGCAGTCTTGAAAGATAGTCTTTGAGAGTTTCCCAGAGCCTCTGAGGAGCAAGGAAGTAGAATAATTTCCTGTGCTGGGCAGAATTGCAAGGAAGAAGGAAGGTGGATGAAAAGAGGTGGTTGTCTTATTGGATGCCCAGGTAGACAGACTTAAATACCATGAACTAGGTGCCCATCACCTCCTTCCTCAAGTGGACACCATTTAAACACCCGGGAGCATGGACACAGCCCTTGGAAAGAGGTTAGGGCACCCAGCAGTGTGCAAGGTTTAGTTTTTGTGGTAAGTGGGCATGGGTGAGAAATTGTTATATATACTGATGTTTGCAGACTGAGTTTATATCCACTATGTATTTTTTATATTTTTCTTGTACAAACACAATCCTGCTGCTGAAAATAATGAAAGGCTGAATAGTTATAGGAGTCAGAGATCAATGTTTCTTGCATCTAAGGGTATCCTATTGGACCAAATGTGTCTGGGGTAACAGGTAGATGCAGGAAGTGGTTTAAGACCCATCACTGTTTTAGATGAAACATAAGGTGATAAAATTCTCTGGCATGTGCCCTAACTTTCCTCCCAAGGGGAACAAGAGCCATGACAAGTAAACAAGAGAGTATGTGCTCTGTGCTTAATTAAACACAGAAACTCACCAAGAAGGAACACATCGCATTCAAGCTTAAAGCCCTGCTTTGCTCCACAAGAAAATGAGCAAAAGGTAAACAGGCATTAAGCAAAAATGCATTACTTTCTTAGAGAAAGCACTATAGCATTTGTACTTCTAGAGGTGCCCAGTCTAAAATGATGTTCTCTGGGGGCTGAATCTCTCAGTCAGTTGGCGTCCAACCTTGGCTCAGGTCATGATCTCATTGTTCGTGAGTTCAAGCCCTGTGTCAGGCTCTGTACTGACAGCTTGGAGCCTGGAGCCTACTTCAGATTCTTTGTCTCCTTCTCTCTCTGCTCCTCTCCTGCTCACAC